AGAGCTGGGACCTTCCCTTTTCCTTAAGTGCTGGAGTTGAGAACCAGAGGCCATGGGGTGCACGTACTCATCTCCGCCAGACGAGCCCACCCTGAGAAGGTCAGTCCTGGCCCCAGTGCAGGCTGCATGGGCGCCCCTTAGCAGGGGGCACCTGGCATCCTTCTATCCAAGTTCGGAAATGTGCTTCCGGGAAGGGACCCCCGAGGCAGAGGCTCTGGAGAGTGGGCCGGCGGCTTCGGCCATTCCCGGCGGCCGTCTTCCCAGAGTCTAGGGGTGGCTGGCCCAGGCCCTGCAGTTCCTGTGGACGTGCAGTGGGGACTTGGCAGGAAGCTGTTCACCTCCCCTCACCTGGGACTGGTGAGGAGCCAGGTGGGAGTAGCCCGGGGTGTGGCCCTCAGCCTCTGAAGGTGGCTGCTTCTCTGAGCCCCTGAGTAGGTCTTGGAGTGGGCAGGGAGTCCTGGAGCTGCTCCTCAGGCAGGACTGGCTCACCAGCGGGGACCCAGGGGTGCCCTGACACAGCGTCCACTGCCTGTACTTCAGCACCGCTGCCTCAGGACCTCAGGAGGGGGAGAGGGTGGAGCACTGAGGGCACAGGCGCTGGCCTCTGCTTCTTGGGAGCACCTTCCTCTGGACGGGGCGGGTTCGCACACCTCGTTCACCCTCTGACGCCCGCAGCCACCGCTGGCCAGCCAGAGTGTGCAGCCTGGAGTGTAGCCGGCTCTTCTGTGACGGAGGCCGCCTGGGCCTCCTCCAGTCCCGCCAGAGCTGAGCTGAGCTGCGCTCCCGCCAGCGGATGGTCCCCGTCTCTGGCTTTCTGTCCTGGGAGCCATTTTCTGTCCCTGAGAATAGGTCCAGCTGTCCCCAGAGGCTTTTCCTCCTTCTCTGGCCTTGAGCACCTGCTCCTCCATAGCTGGGGCACGAGCCGTCCCACCCACCACACAGCCATGCCACCTGGTGCTGCCGAGTGCTTTTGAAATCACAGACTGCCTCCCAAGGACACTGTGGTCCCTGGGTGTTAATGAGTCCCAGGCGCATGGAGGGGCGCCAAGTCCAAGTGCGTGTTCAGAGGGCGGCCTCCGCGGGCGGACTTGCTGACGTGCCTGCTCTTGGCTGGACCACAATCACAGGCAGTTCAGCGCCCCGCTTGTGGCCCTCCCTCCCGCTGCCAGTCTCCAGGAGCCCCTCTCCTGGAGCCAGAGGACAGCCCTGGGCAGAGGTGACACGCGCTAGTCTCAGCCTCTCACTACCTATATAAGGAGGGAGAACCAGGGCCTCTGGGTAGCAGGGCTCCTTTCCTCGATGAGGCCGTAGGTCCACCTTGTTGGAGATGTGACTCTGAGGACATCTGCCCTCTGAGAGGACGTGGGAGGTGGCTTATCTCTGGAAGGGGGCAAGAGAGAAGGGCTCCAGGGCATTTGCCCACCTCTTCCCCCTGGATGCTGGGCAGAGGACTCAGGACTAACCATCAGAAAGGCTGTAAAACATCACTGCTGGGTGCCAGGTGCTGTGGCCGTTGGCGAGAGACACACCACACCTCCCCAGAGTCACCAACCTGGATGCAGCAGTCAGAAGCTGTGGTGGAAAGCGCTGTGTGGAAGACGGCGGCAAGTAACCATGCCGTTGGGACGGGGACAGGGGGCTTGGAGAGGACAGTAGGCATTGGCGACGGGTTAGAGGAAGGGCAGGTGGGGCTCAGGCTGCAGCATGCCGTGTCCACTCACGTGGGTAGTGGTGATTGGGCAGCAGCCAGTCGGGAGAGGCAGGCAGTGGGGCAGGCCTCCTGGAGACTGCAGAGTGGGCAGCCTCCGTCCAGAACGTCCCGATGCTGCCTCTGCTCAGGGCCTCACTGTTCCAGTTTCCCTCACCTGAGGGCCATGAGGGCCTTCAAGTCAACCCATGAGTCTGTCCCCGCACTCGGTGGTCATTTCTACCTTCTTAGGCGCTGCCTGTTTCTTACAAGAGAAAAGGGACAGGGGAGCTGCAGATAGGAACTCAAATCAAAACGCAGGAGAGACAGCCCCCACTGTCCTCCCTGCTGTGCAGGGCCATCTCCAGCTGAGGCCAGCCTGGACAATCTAGTGAGAGCCTGTGTCTCCCAAAATAGAAAGGGTGGTAGAGCACCTGCCTAGCAAGTGTGAGGCCCTGGGTTCCATCCCTAATGCCACCAAAGAAAAGCGACTCCCCCAGCTCCTTGGTGTGGCTCCCCTGGACTTCTGAGCTCAGTGGTGTCACTGTGCTGCTTTTCCTCTTAGTGGATTTACTGCGGTGCTGGAGTGGAACCCGGGCCTGTGCATGCCAGGCCAGAGCTCTGCCTCCTCTGTGCTGCCCGCTAACCTGCTTTTCCGTGTAGCAGGGCACTGTTCTTGCTTCCCTCTGGGTGGGTGCGCATGTCACCCTGGGCCGGTGAGCGCTGGGGAGGAGGTGTGTTCAGGGCCTGGCTGACACCGGGGAAGCCTTCACAGCCCTGCTCACATTTCACCCAGGGCTGTGCAGGGCGCATCTGCACCCTGTGGACTGGCCACCGTGTGCAGGGAGGCGCTCTGGATGGCCCTAGAGAGCCTCCACAAGGGACACAGGGATATATTCCTGGCCTCTCCTGTTCGTGAAAAGTGCAGCCCGTTGGGCTGGCTTGTCTGAAGGAGAAATTGGGGTCACAGTGGCCACTGAGCACAGAAGCAGCCAGCCACTAGGTGACCTGTTAGCCCGTGGGGACCACAGGCACCCGGCACATGCGCTGTGGTTGCTCTGTGCTCTGCGAGGGCCTGGCGGCTTCCCTCCGGACAACAGTGTCCTGCAAGTGGCCAGGCCAGCCTGTGGCTGCAGCTCCTTGTCTAGCGTGATAGTGACCAGGGAGGCTGAGCCTGCCACTTGCCAGCATGCTGGATGGATCCTTCAAGTCCTGCTTCTTATCTGATCCTTGCAAAAACCCCTGGAGGGAGGATGTACTGCTCCCTCTCACTGGTCGAGGAACAGTGATTCTGGGTCAAGTTGACCCAGGCGCACGGCAAGCCCCAGAGCCGCCGCCTTGCCCGTCAGCTCCTGCCTGTCTGGGGGCCTTGGTAGTGGGGTGAGGGTGTTGGGAGCAAATGACACAGGAGTGTGCAGCTCATGTCTATACAGTTTAGTGAGGTACAGCTACAGAAAGGTGCGTCTGCTTCCCAAGTGGCAGATCGACAGTTCTGTCATGTGAACAGGTGGTAGCCATCACCACCCAATCAGCCCACCCATGGTGACCAGCGCCTCGCCCCTAAGCACAATAGCCATCCCATCTAATGTCCCCATAAGTTGGTTGGTCTGGTTTTTTTTTTTTTTTGGTACCAGGGATTGAACCCAGGGGCACTTAACCCTGAGCCCATCCCCAGCCCTTTTCTGTATTTTATTAGAGACAGGGTTTTGCTGAGTTGCTTAGGGCCTCGTTAAGTTGCTGAAGCTAGCTTTCAACTCTTGATCCTCCTGCCTCAGCCTCCTGAGCACTGGGATTACAGGCATGTGCCAAGGCGCCCTCCTGGTTTATCTGTTTTTGAACTTCACATCTCGGAATCACATTATGGACTCTGTGTAGCGGGCCTTGGTCAACATCATGTCCGTGAGATTCGTTCATGTTGGTGAGTCATGGCAGCTTCTCGTTCTCTGTGCCGCAGAGGACTGGAACCTTCCACCGTGTGGCTCATTCTTCTGCTGTGGGCCTGAGGGTCTCCCCTAACGTCGCATGCCCCTGTGGACATCCCCACACAGGGGTCCGCCAAGAGCGATGCTGGGCTGCAGGGTGAGCTCACATCCCTGGTAGCAGTACCACCGAGTAGCACCCCAGGGCACCTGCCCCTGTCCCTCCTGCCGGCAGGGCTGGGCTCCTACGTGCTGCCTGCCTCACCTGCTGGGGCTGGGCCTGCTTGGTCCTGGCTGCCGTCAGTGGGTGTGCAGTTGCCGCGCTCTTCCTCACCCCCCCCCCCCCCCCGACATTGAACGCGCGCCCATGTGTTCTTCTGCTGCGTGGAGAACGGACCTGTTGGAGTCGTGGGTCTTGGCCTGGGTGACCTATAGGCGTCTGGCGTCCCCGTCTCTGTCTTTGTCAGATGCACGTCTCTTGTAGTCACTTCTCCGGGCCGAGTTGCCTTTCGGGCCCTTCGTGGTGTCGTCTTTAATGGATGCAGCTGAGCTTTGGAGGCTGAGGCAGGAGGATCACACGTTCAAAGCCGGGCTTAGCAACTTAGTAAGGGAAGAGAAGGACAGAAAATGGAGAGGGGAAGGGGAAGGGGCCAGACACTGAGGAGTGGAGAGTGGAGAGTGGAGAGACGGCCGGGGCAGTCTCAGACCTGTGCTGTGCCTGACATGCTGGGGTCAGCCCTGAAGGGGACCCATCTAAGTCAGGCCTTGAAGTGCCAGGAACAGAAGGGTCCAGTTAAACTCAGCCCCAGCTCCAGGGGTGGGAGTGGGATCTGATCCAGGAGCAGGGCCTGACAGGTAGACCAGTGTTCTGCTGGGTACAGAGGTGGAGCCAGCAGGGCAGAGATAGTAGCTCAGACTGTCATGTGGGTGGAGCATGCAAGTCAGGACATCCGGCAGAATTGGTGGAGCCATAGTGGGTGAAGCTGTGTACCCTGTCCTGTGGGTCCTGGGAGCCATTGAAGGTTTTAGAGTGAGGCAGGGCAGGGGTGAGTTCAGAATTGCATTTAGGAAACTCCAGTGGCTGTGTGAGGCAGGATCGGGAATTGGAGGTGAGGTAAGGCCAGGGGAACCTTTGGCTGAGATGGGGAGGAAGAGGGACACAAGTCTCTTCATTTTAGGGAAACAGGTTTGCATCTGTCTGGGGGCAGAGTTTTGACCAAGGTATTGGTGTCCCAGGAGGCTGTAGATGGATAGTGGGGTCCCTGGGCCTGCCTCCTCCAGCCCTAATGCTGGACCAGGGCCATGTGCTGGCCTGGTCCCTGGAAGGTGGCAGAGGGCACAGATGGCATGTCCCATGTCACTCACGTCCCATACTCTTGCACTTTGTGTTTCAGGACCACATCCGTCAAGGAGAGCGGCTTCGTGGAGAAGATGAAGAAAACGGTGAGTCCGAGTCTGGCCCTGGGGACGTAGCAATGGAGAGCCTGCTGAGGGCCATCTGCCTGCTGCACAGAGGGCCTGGCCAGCGGGGCAGGTGCCCGGTGCAGCCTGCATGTCCTCCAGGACCCAGAGCCTGAGGCCACCTGCTCCCGCTGGGGTGGTCTGCTCTGTTTTTCTGACTGGTGCTTCTTGTGTAGGTCGGGTCACTCTGGCTGACATTATTCTTATGATGAGGCTTTTTTCTTCTAATTCGGTGCCCCCCACCCCCCACAGCCTTTTTTCCTTTTCTTTTAATAGATGTCTGTCTCGCCCATCTTTCCTCTGGGCTCTTTTCTGGGAACTTCTTACCAGGGTCAGGAAGATGACCCGGCTTGTGAGACGGGGTTGGGAGCAGGTTGGGGGCTTGGCCTGCCATGCTGAAGTGACACAGTCTCCTTTGTGCTTTTGGTGACTTCTGTGTGACGTGAGAGGCCTTCCCTGCCCTGGAGAGGGGAGCTCTGCTGCTTCCAGGGCTGTAGTGGTGGTTTTTCAGTTTGACACTGGGGACTGGTCCAGTGTGAGACAAGGAGGGTGGGCCCAGGCTACTTTGTCATGTAACTGGGTGGCAGAGCCCCTCTCCCCTGCCCCACTCCAATTGAAATGTCACCTTTTTCCTAAGCTGAATTCCATGTGTTTGGGTTTGTTTCCGTATTTCCCTGTTGAGTCCCTGGTCGAGCTGTCTGCATTCACATCCTGTGACTGTGACTGAAGTTTCGTGCTTCGTCTGAACAGAGCAGAGCTCCTACTCTGTGGAACCTTCCTTGGTACCACTTGGACTTGGAAAGGGATCGATTGAGATACTCTGTGTGGCATATGAAGTATGGCTTCAGAGTTTTCAATGTCACCGGCTTTTTCTGCTTGGGATTGAACTCAGCACCCTCTACACACTGGGCAGTGCTCTGCCACGGAGCTACGCCCCAGCTGTGTCACTACGGTCAGCCCGCTGTGTCCTCAGGTCCCACAGCTGTGGTTTCAATAAACCATAGATCAAAAATATTTGGAAAAAGAAGTCTGAACCTGCACACGCTTTATTATCCCTAAACGATCAGTGTGGGCTGTGTAGCATCCACCTCATGGTAGCTGAGGTGACCTAGAGGTGATTTCAAGTTGATGGGCAGGTGCGTAGGTTCTGTGCAAATCCCCCGTTGTGCGAAAGGGATTTGAGCAGCTGTGGATTTGGGTATTCGGCAGGTGGGGTCCTGGAACCCACCCCTGCAGGTACCGAGAACGCACACATGTTCATGGTACCTTCTTTGGTTGCTTTTTAAACATTTTACAGCATTAGAAAGAAAGTGACCTCAGGCAGTGTGTTATCACTGAGGTGGCTCTGGCATATTAAACTGGTGACTTTTGCCCTCCTCCATCACAGTGGCCGTGACAGTAGGGTGCCATTCCCAGAGTGACAGGACTGGAAGCCTGGGGGGAAAGAGGATGCCCACGCGGTCGTGTGGCCTGGAACGTGGGGGGTCTGGCTCTGGGCCCTCACTGACCGGCATCTGGCCTTCCTAGGGGCGGAACATCATCGTGTTCTACGGCTCCCAGACGGGGACGGCCGAGGAGTTTGCCAACCGCTTATCCAAGGACGCCCACCGCTATGGGATGCGGGGCATGGCCGCAGACCCCGAGGAGTATGACCTGGTGAGTGTGGGCCCCCACGGGTCTCAGGAATGGCCTCTGGATCATGCAGAGGCTGAAAGGGCCGGGTTAGCTGGAGGGACAGACAGGATCAGGCTGTTGGAACAGCCCAGAGCTGTTGGTGCTCAGCTGCTGGGGTCACCAGTGTGGGCTTCACAGGTGCTGGTCTGGTCCCCAGAAGGGACTCAGTCCCCAGTGAATTGGGTGTGGCTTAAAAAATTAAAGGGTCTCAGAATTCAGGAGACCTCTGCCCCACCCACCTCCGCCCAGGAGTGCAGACGTGGGAAGCTGGGGGACCAGCAGCTCGGCTCCCGCCCCCAGGCAGCTTCCTCCTGTCTTGGTCAGTGCACAGGGTCATCCGCAAGCACCTCTGGCTGTCCTTGTGCTTCAGCTGTTATCACCAGGAGTGAGGGCATAGGCCAAGGCAAGGACAGGGTACCACACGCAGGAGGGGTCAGGAGAGCCTGGGGGCTTGGGGAGAGGATGTGGTTTGGGACAGTGGGGCCTCCACAGGGCTCCCCTTGGGACTGGGTTCTGGGAGCCCTCGAGGGGCCCAGCAGCCAGCCTGTCCCCTGCCACTGGCCGCTCCCTGCTTCTGGCCGCACTACCCCCGGGCTCATCTGCTCATCCTCTTCCTGGCTGTCACCACCAGGGCTCTGTGCAGTGCAGGGGCCCCACCCATTTGTTTGCCTGTTGCTTTGGGAGAGCCCGTGCCAGCCAGCCACCAGCCCAGGATGAGGCAGTGGACAGGAAAGGGCAGCTGACCCGCAGGAGGGGGAGGCTGGAGGAAGTCCATCCGGGTTGCCTCACTGCTGTCGCACACGGAGTTGTGGCCATCATTACTGAGGGGATGTGCCTGCACTGTTGCCCTCCACTCCCCTGCCTTTGGGGTCTTGGTGACACCCGGCTCCAGGCCCCCCTTCATGTTGATCAGAAACCAGCAAGACCCCTCATGCCTGCTGTCACCTTTTTAGAACTGCACCTTCTCCCACCAGCTTGCCATCACTGTCCTGCTCACACGCAGTGGCCCTGGCTGCACCTCCCCCATCCCATAGTCCCCACGTCCTAGCTGGGAGCCACTGCTGCCCCCTCACCAGAGGCCTGGGCCTGACCCGAGCAGGCTGGTCACGGCGTGGTGGCCCTGTCTCTGCAGGCCGACCTGAGCAGTCTGCCGGAGATCCACAACTCCCTGGTGGTTTTCTGCATGGCCACCTATGGCGAGGGGGACCCCACTGACAACGCCCAGGACTTCTATGACTGGCTGCAGGAGGCAGATGTGGACCTCTCTGGTGTCAAGTACGCGGTGAGTCCGCAGAGCCCTGGACCCATGTCGGCATAGACAAGGAAGTCTCCACCCCTCCCCGTTCCAGCTCCCAGAAGAGACCAACGGAGCAGACTGCCCAGGAACAGACCCTCTGCACCTGGAGAGCTTCTCCTCCCATCTCCCAGCCAGCCCCAGGGGACATTAGTTCCTGGACACTAAAGACCAGGAAAATGTAGCAAGATGATCAGGATTTGGCTGGACAGGGAAAGCCATGGCCACCAGCTAGGCAGGCAGGGCACACTGCCCCTTTCTGGCCACTTGGAGTGGAGGCTTCAAGGCTGGCTGTGGAGAGGGCCCCGGGGGCTGCAGGCCAGAGGCTGCCCAATACTCCTCGTGGTGCCGGGTGTCTGGCAGGTACAGAGGCCCACAGGGCCTGCTTGGTGGCTTGGTCAGGGCCACAAGGATGCCCCCACCCCACGAGAGGTGCCGCTGGGCAGGCCAGGGGCCAGGCCTCAAAGCCTCCCATCTGCACAGGTGTTTGGCCTTGGAAACAAGACCTATGAGCACTTCAACGCCATGGGCAAATACGTCGACCAGCGGCTGGAGCAGCTCGGAGCCCAGCGCATCTTTGAGCTGGGCCTTGGCGATGACGACGGGAAGTGAGTGTCCACCCTGGCCCCCTTGCACTCAGGGCCCCGGTCTACACTAGGCCACCCTCCCTGGGCACTATGGACCAGGAGCCCAGGGCAGGAGCAGCCCATGGGCCTCCAGGGGCAGCACAAACCCCCGTCAGCGGGAACTCAGGACTCGCCTCCCTGTTGGGGGCGCTGTCACCATGCCCCATGCCCTGCTCCTGGCCAGCTCAGACACAAGCCCCGGTGGGCACGGATGTGCTGGGCCTGGGGTTGACGTCACTGGGCGGCCAGGTGACATGAGTCCTCAAGATGTCGAGCCACACTGGAGGACAGGGCCAAGCGGGTCACCTCCGTCTGGACCCTGGCTCATCCTGTCCTCTCCCCAGCCTGGAGGAGGACTTTATCACGTGGCGGGAACAGTTCTGGCCGGCCGTGTGCGAGTTCTTTGGGGTGGAAGCCACTGGCGAGGAGTCCAGGTGAGCATGGGGGCCTCAGATGGGGCCTTGGGGACGCAGCAAGGAGGGGTTGGCAGCTCAGTCACAGGTTAAAGGAGCTTGTGCTTCCCTGGAGGGTGACAGGAGTAGGGCCGGGTCTTGCCTGGCTTTTCACCTGAGCCCCGGGGCCTGGGCGGCCCTCACAGGGCCTGGGATCTGACTTCAGCAGCTCTGTGCCAGCCTCCTCTGCTTGCCCACCCGGTCCTGTGTGGGTCACTCACCCCACACCGGTCCAGACCCTCCTGTCTGGACGGATCCCCTGGCTCCTGCCCAGCAGCCCTGACTCTGCCCCTGGCTCTCCTCTCCAGCATCCGCCAGTATGAGCTCGTGGTCCACACGGACATGGACACAGCCAAGGTGTACGTGGGTGAGATGGGCCGTCTGAAGAGCTATGAGAACCAGAAGCCGTAAGTCGAGGGAGGTGGGTGGGACTGATGGCCTTGGAACACCAGCATCAGCTGGCTGTGTATCCTCGTAGGGCCTTTCTCCCTAGACCCATGTGATGGGTGCGTGCGGTAGGGGCACATGTTTTCACATCCGCGGAGGGAGGGCAGGAGGCCCAGAGCAGAGATGGGCCGTCCAGGAGCCAGGGCCTGCTCTGTGCTGGTGCTGTCATTCAGGGCAGGCCTTGGGAGAGAGAGGTGCTTACCCAGTTTGTCCTCAATTTGCTTTGAAATCTTACTGTGTAAATACCCTGGTCCGCAACAGTCCTTAAAGACAGCAAGGTCTGTGCTGTGTCCAGGTTGGACTTTGGCAAAAAGGCTCACTTCCCTATAAGCCACTTCAAGTACCCCTGGATGGTGCCCAAATCCCTGCTGGAGCCCCCAGGTGCCCAGGTACCACTAAGTCAAGAGCGGCTCTGCTGGACGCAGCCCTGTCAGAGCAAACTCCACATCCCAGTGATTCCCCTGCCTGTATTAGGGTCTAGGCATGGGGGTGAGGGGGCTGAGGATAGGGGATTCCACCTGGAATCCACCTGGGGTTCCGTCTCCCAGAGCTGGCTTGAATCTGCACTCAGTCTGCCCAAGGGGATAAAGCATGAGGGGCCTCAATATTTTAGGGGCCAGCCTCAGTTTCCATATCCAAAAATGGGGACCCTGATCACATAGCTCTGCCACCTCGCAGGGTTAAGAGTACTGCGCTGACTGGGAACGGGGGAACCCTTGACAGTTGGCAAGGTGTCCTCGTGCCCTTGGAGGCCCAGAGGGTCTCTTGGGGACAGAAAGATTCAGATCACAGACACAGCCAATCGATGAGCTTCTCTTCTCCCCACCCAGCCCCTTTGATGCCAAGAACCCATTCTTGGCTGCTGTCACCACCAACCGGAAACTGAATCAGGGCACTGAGCGACACCTCATGCACCTGGAATTGGACATTTCCGACTCCAAAATCAGGTCTCTGCTGCCTTCACCCCTTCCTGACCCTTCACTCTGGGTTTCCTGACCCAGGCACAGAGTGGCCTCCACTGCCTCCTGAGCCTTGTGTCTTCCTTTAGGTATGAATCTGGGGACCACGTGGCTGTTTACCCAGCCAACGACTGCACTCTTGTCAACCAGCTTGGGGAGATCCTGGGTGCAGACCTGGATGTTGTCATGTCCTTGAACAACCTTGATGGTGAGTTCTGGAATCAAGGCCTCCTAGGCCAAGCCCTTGGGCTGGGCTTCTGCTTGGCCCTGCATGCCAGGGGCCTAGGGCCCTTCACCCAAGCCTCCACCATTATAGGTTCTGCACGCCCCCTGCCCCACTCTGCAGGGAGGAGAGACCGTGTGCTGTAGGGCCTGGCTCTCTCCCTTAGGCTCTTGTCACTGTCACAGGAGAGAGGGTGGTGTGTCTCAGGCCTGGTGGCAGCAGGAACACTAAGTCAGCACCCCTGGCCACCCTTCCAGGTCCCTTCAGTGGAGCTCAGGGTGCCAAGCACTAGCCATGGTGGTTTCCCCAGGGTCCCATGGAGCTGTATAGCCCGAGACTTACTGTGAACACGCACCAACCTCAGGCGTAGCCCTGCTTGGTCCTGTCCCATGGTCCATGCCGAGGCTGTCCACGCTCCCTGGTTCCAGAACCAGCCCTCAGCAGAGCAGGAGGAGGAAGGGCTGGTTTCTGGCAAACCTCGCAGAAGCAGGAACTCTGCTTCCCCTGGGGCATCACTTCCCCTGACCAGACCCCTCCAACAGGGATTTACAGTCCAGCCTGAGGCTTGGCTTTAGGGCCTAGGAGGCCTGGAGAGGGCTAGCCTTGCTTGGACTGCCAGCTGGGCACCTGCTTCCTGCAGAGCAGGTCTGAAGCTTCCACCCCCCACCATGGGTGACCATTCACCCCAAATTCTGCCTCCCCTCTCCGTACAGAGGAGTCCAACAAAAAGCACCCCTTCCCCTGCCCCACCTCCTACCGCACGGCCCTCACCTACTACCTGGACATCACCAACCCTCCACGCACCAACGTGCTGTATGAGCTGGCACAGTATGCCTCGGAGCCCACCGAGCAGGAGCAGCTACGCAAGATGGCCTCCTCCTCAGGCGAGGGCAAGGTGAGCCTGCGCCACGCCGCCTCTGCCCAGGGCTGCAGCTCCCAGCTCACTTCCCCTCGGCCCCAGCTTCCACCCGCACCGACCCACTCCTCCCGTTCCTTGGTCTTGGGCAGGAGCTGTACCTGAGCTGGGTGGTAGAGGCCCGGAGGCACATCCTGGCCATCCTGCAAGACTACCCGTCCCTGCGGCCCCCCATCGACCACCTGTGTGAGCTGCTGCCTCGGCTCCAGGCCCGCTACTATTCCATTGCCTCGTCCTCCAAGGTGAGGTGGGCTGGAGCCTGGGACTGCCTGCCTCTCCCCAGCTCTGACCCTCAGGGCCAGGAGAGCTGTTGGCAAGGAGACCCTGAGGGGGCATGGGCTAGAGGGGTGGGACAAGGCTTGGTGCCAGGACTGGGCCCTCCAGGACAGGGGCCCTCCACGTTGCTGCGGCTCACACCAGCCCTCCCTCCAGGTCCACCCCAATTCTGTGCACATCTGTGCTGTGGCTGTGGAGTATGAGACCAAGTCTGGCCGTGTCAACAAAGGTGTGGCCACCAGCTGGCTGCGGGCCAAAGAGCCTGCTGCGGAGAATGGCCGCCGGGCCCTGGTGCCCATGTTCGTGCGCAAGTCCCAGTTCCGCCTGCCCTTCAAGCCCACCACGCCTGTCATCATGGTGGGCCCTGGCACTGGGGTTGCCCCCTTCATCGGCTTCATCCAGGAGCGGGCCTGGCTGCGGCAGCAGGGTAAGCAGACGGATGGGATGGGGTGGAATGAGGAGCCGCAGGGAGCCCCCTCACCCTGGCCGCCTCTGCCCAGGCAAGGAGGTGGGGGAGACACTGCTCTACTATGGCTGCCGCCGGGCGGATGAGGACTACCTGTACCGCGAGGAGCTGGCCCAGTTCCACAAGGACGGCGCCCTCACCCAGCTCAACGTCGCCTTCTCCCGGGAACAGGCCCACAAGGTGAGGGGTGGGCGGTACTGGTGGGGGCTGGGCCAGGTACGGCTGCCCAACGAGGAGGTGGCTGGGGCGCCCTGGCCCTCACAGGCCGCCCACCTGCCTGCAGATCTACGTGCAGCACTTGCTGAAGAGGGACGCGGAGCACCTGTGGGAGCTGATCCACAATGGGGGCGCCCACATCTACGTCTGTGGGTGAGTAGGAGAGGGGAGATCAGGCCCTGTCCACTCCCAGGTGGTGCCTGCCCAGCCTTCACCGCCACCTCCTTCCCCCCAGGGACGCTCGGAACATGGCCAGGGACGTGCAGAACACCTTCTGTGACATTGTGGCTGAGCTCGGGGCCATGGAGCATGCCCAGGCTGTGGACTACATCAAAAAGCTGATGACCAAGGGTCGCTACTCCCTGGATGTGTGGAGCTAGGCGGCCCCTGCCCCTCGCACCCACAGACTGTCCCCATGATCACGTTCCTCACTCCCTCTGCCAGCCGCCTGGTGGTCTCTGCCTGGGCTGGCCACTGGAGGCAGGTCCATGGACAGGGGCAACCCAGGCCAGGCCTGTGAGGTAGCCCAACCCCAGGGCACATGGCAAGGGGGACGGGGTCCCACACTTGGTGACACCCCAGGCCCTCGGCAGCTGTACAGAAGGGGCCCTTCTCTCAGCTGGTGGCCCCCACATGATTTTGAATGAGTGTAAATAATTTTAAATAACTTCTGGCCCTTGGAATAAAGTTCTGTTTTCTGTATTTGCCTGATATTGCTTGAGCAGCCCTGGGGTGTCCCCTGGGCCTATACAGAGACCCTAGATACAGCAGGAGCCCAGCCTCCCTGTGGGAGAACACATCCGTCAGGCCGCCTCTGCCTCGCTCCCTTTATTGAGGCCCTGGCGCCCAGCTCCCGCAGCCGGGGCCCAGGTCGTCCTCAGGGCCCACAGAGCCCACGAAGCCCAGGAGAGCAGAAGGCACCCCACACGCACAGGGGTGCCTCCCACCCTTCTGCCACACACGGGTCAGAGGCCCCTCTGGGGCCAGCAGGTGGAGGCCCTGCTCACTCCTTCTTGCTCCTGCGCTGCTGGCTGTGGAACTTCTGGTGCACAACCCGCAGGGTGGTGAAGAAATTGCCCAGGAAGAGGAGGAGGAAGGGGAGGCCGCACATGAGCACCTGCAGGGGGCCAGAGTCAGCTCGAGAGCCTGCGGGGCTGGGCCCTCCCAGCTGTCCCCCGGACCCTGCTCACCTGCCACTCCTTGCATTGTGGGTCTCGAGCCAGGTTAAACAAGGTCAGCGCATTGAAAAGCTGCCAGAACTGAGAGGAAAAGCTAGCTGGACTCAGCAAACCCAGGGCCGCCAGAGCGGGGAAGACTAGGGCAGCTGGGGACACCCGTGCCACTTACATGTCCGAAGAAAAGAAAAGGCAGCAGGAAGGTGAGGCCCCGCCACATCCAGGACTGGAAGCCCTCTGCAGGGAAAAGGGCCAGGGCAAAAGAACCAGGGACACCATTCAGGCCAGGAGCAGAAGGAAGGGGAAATTCCTGCCTGCCGTACCCACAGGGCTGCAGAGCAGGGCCTGGCCGACTCACCCACGGTGAGGTCCATGGTGTGCCGCTCGCCCAGGGCCCGCAGGCGGTACAGGCAGCCGCTCTGGTAGTAATACTGCAGGAACTGCACGAAGCCTGGGGAGAGCGGGCTTCAGAACTGGGCTGCAGGCGGGGTCTTCCTGCCCCTCCCGCGCATGCACACCTCCTGAGCTCAGGAAGCCCCGAGACACTCACTCTGGTACATGGAGAAAGACAGGAACTGGTTCCGGAACTTCTGGTACATGAGACCATCGGGCCTAAGGGGAAAACAGAGGGTGGGCAGTGAGGGAGCCCAGGGTGCCATCTCTGGCCCTGTCCCAGCTCCCACCAGAACCAGGCCACTTACCACGTCAGCATGACGCCCGACAGAAACGTGGACACATAGTGATGGATCACCCACCAGCCTTTGATCCTGTAGGGGGGGAGCCACTGTCCTTCCTGTCCCTGTCCCTGCCTCCCATCCCAGGGCAGCCCTTGAGAACCAGGCCCACCCCTGCACACCGGGAGCCGTTGTTGATGAGGATGCTCTCACGGATGGTCAGCGTGCAGTAGTACCAGACCAGCAGGAAGTTGAAGGCCGCATCTGTCACCCTGGGGAGGGGAGGGAAGGGAAGGGTAGGAGGGTTGGTGTCAGAGCCCAGGAGGGTGCGAGGTTGCACCAGGTGGCAGAACACCCACCTGGAGTTGAGCAGGAAACGGCAGGTGAAAGAGATGAGGATGAGGATGATGGTGAGGTAGAGCTTGAACTTCTCGTACTCGTCTTTGTAGGCAAACCTGGGGACACACACATGTGGGGGTCCCCCATGCCCATGGGGTCCCCCTTGCTGTGACCCAAGGAGGGCACAGGCAGGCACCAGAGAAGCCTGGAGTCCCGAGGCTGAGCCAAGGGCAGTCAGGGCAAGGGAACCCAGGCAAGACCAGCCCACTAGCCACGTACTTGGCCTGCTTGCTCAAGAGTGTCACGTTGACATTCCCCAGAACCAGGCTCAGGTACAACCTAGAGAAAAGGAGAGGGGCTGAGAGGCCTTGGCCCTGGGTCCCCTCCACCCAGCTGTCTTCTCCATAACCCTGCATTAAGAGTCCTACCCTTGGGGTGCTGTAGGCCACCTCCACTTGGAGCCCAGCCTGCTCCAGAATCCTGACCTGGAGTACACCAATGTCCCCAGCCTGCCACATCCTGTCCACGGCCTCCCAGCCTTGAGGCCTCAAGAAGCCTGGCTCTCCCACTCAGACCCCATATCCCCGATCACTCCTCGGTTCTGGGTGGTGGATCTGCCATCTGTATGAAGTCAACTCTTGTCACTGCCACAAGTTCCTTGCTATCTGGACCCCAGGAACCTCAGCTCTGAGTCCACTCAGGCCCCACACCATGACCATACATGTCCTCCCAGCCCACGACAGCCTCCCTCAGAAACTCTAGCCTGTGGTTGTACTGACCCCCAAAAGCTCTGATTCCCATTTTTTTCCTTACACCACGAAGACCCCTCCCTCCCTGAGGGCCCCGCACTCTGGCCAGTCCTTGTCCAGGCCCTCCTTCACCGTGCAGCCACTTCCCAGCCACCCCTTGAACCGCAGCCTCCCTGTATTTCCATCATCTCCCAACGAGGCTCATCTGTCCTCTGCTGAGGAGCTCCCAGGCGGGACAGCAGAGCAGCTGCCCTAACAGGGCTCCTGCTCCTGCTCAGACCCTGTGGACCTCCCCATGAAGGGACTTGCCTGAGGCTGCAAAAGAGCTTACTGGGGGGACTCTGACCACACCAGAGAAAAGCCTCGCCCAGCGCCCAGCCTCCAGCCCCAGCTGCTCTCTCAACCAGCTCCCAGCAGCCGCCTCTTGTAAACGGCTAGCCACTGCTAGCCACCTGCATGACTCTGTGCCTCTGCATCCTGCACCAGCAAGGCCCACATGCACCCTTCTGTCTCTCCAGGCGCCTCCTGTCAATACCTACCCCTGCCCGTGGACGTGCCCAGCTCTTTCCGACCTAGAGAGTAACAGGTGTGCCCAAGGCAAAGCCTCCCAAACACCCTCCTGACTTCTAGTTGATACTTTCGAGTGACTTCTCTCCTTCCACACAGCCATGCCAGCTCCCCCTTCAGCTCTCCCACCAGCTCCAAGATCAGCTCCCACCCCTCCCTGCCACCAGCTGGCTCTCCAAGGTCCTGTGGCCTCAGAAGCACTCCCCTCCCTCCCTTCCTCAGCCCACTAACCTGCTTCCCTGCCTTCCAGAAACCTCCCCCAATGCCTTCAGCCTTCAGTCTCCTGGGGAGATCTGGCTCAGAGTCTTGCACTGGCACCCCTGGACTCCACCCTCTCACCCAGACCCCAAACCCTGGCCACCTCATTTTGTTCCCGGCCTCTGCAGTCATCCACTGTTACCTCTCATCCTTGAAGACAGCTCAGCATCCCCCAGACACGGAAGCTTTCTCTGACTGCCTGGGCCGGTTAGGTGACCCTTACCATACCCCTACACCAGGTCCTTCCCCCACAAAGGGCCCATCACAGTGTGGGGACTGTGCTGACTGCTCTGGCTATGGCTGACTGAATGACCAAAAAGAGGTGGCATCTGGCCTCAGCCCCTCCCTCCCAGGAGTGGTGGCAGCTGGGGCTGGCCTGGGCTCACCCGTTCTTCTTGGGCAAATAGGCCTCCATGTCAAAGAAGAGGCCCTGGCGCTCCTTCATCTGGTTCTCCAGCTCCTGTGCGGCCCCCACGGCCTCTGACGGAAGGGTGGGTTTGCATCTGCAGGTGGAGCCAGAGTCAGCAGGGGCAAGCAGGCGCCATGCCCACCCCAGAGGGGCAGAAGGGGCAGTGAGGCCCAGAGAGGGGAGAGACTGTGCTGTCCCCTGGGGGGCAGCACCAGCCCCCCATGCCTCGCTGGCAGGTGCCCACCTCTTCAGGACGAGGGCCAGTTCCTGTAGCCGCTTCTTCTGCCGGGCGATGGAGCTGGTGCAGTTGTTCTGCAGCTTGGTCAGCTCCTCCAGCTTCAGGCGGTACAGCCGGTGAGTCTCCTGGGGCCGAAGGGACAAGGTGCAGGCTGGCTGGGACACATGGGCTCACTGTCTCCGCCAGGGATCCGCCTGTGCTTTCCCAAGGCACTCCCCCCTCAAGGTTTTCCTGGTCGCAGGACATCTTCCTGTGGTCCCCACCTCTCCACAGGCTCTCTGTCCTGAGTCTGGTTTCTAAGGTCACAGGTCCACCTTCTGGACCAAGTGGGTGGCTTCAGGCCCTCTCAGTCCCTCCTGCCTACCCAACTTGCAAGGATGGGAAGTATGCGTGTGTTGGGCAGGGGTGGGGGGGACAGTGGTCAGGCATCCACAGTGCCTTCTGCTAGGGCATTCTGGATGCTTTCTCCCAGGTTAAAGGTCATCAGGCTTCAGTCTTGCACCTCCTGCCCTGAGGCCAGTCCCCTCCCCTGCCCCAGCACCTTTGGCCTGAGGCTTCCCTTAGCACTTTGCCCTGGTGGGTGAATCTCAAGAAGGCGCAGTCTAGAGATTGGGCAAGAGGCAGTGTGGGGACAGCAAGTGGCTGAGGCCAGCGGAGGCAGCCAGGCTGGGAGATGCCTGCTCAGGACTCCAGGGAGAACACTGGTGGCAGCTGGCGGGGCTGCTCTGGGGGCAGCGATGGAGAAGGGAAAAGGCGGGAATCAGGCCAGGAGAGGCAAAGGTCTAACCAAGTCTCCAACTGGCCTGGGCTCCACTGGGTCTGTGGGCCACCACACCCCCCTCAGACCCAGATCTGTGCCACCTCTGCCCAGGCACAGTCACCACCCTCTCCTTCCTGGTCAAAGCCAGCAACCTCCTGCTGCCTGGGTCCCAGGACAGACGGCCACATACAAACTCCAACCAGACAACTGCTCCTGCAGCTTCCCAGTGGCTTCAGAGATTCTAATCCCCGCCAGAGCCAGGAGGTCCCTGCACGATCTGGTCCCACCCACTGCTCCCCTCACTTTCCCAAGCAGCCACACAGGCCCACAGGGCCTGTCAGCACTGCTCTCCCTTCCCCTGTTAGATGCTGGCCCACCTGGGACAGCCCCCCCGACCCTGGCCACGGACTTCACCTAAACACCACTCCCCCAGGGCACTCTGACAGGAGATGCTGAGGGTGGGAACGGGATGTTCGTGGAGTGACAGATCCAGAATACGGGCTGGCTGGCTGGCTGGCTCCGACTCAGGCAGC